CTTAGTATTTTGACTAATTTGAACCAATGCTGCATTCAACATACCATCGATGTTTATCTTTGTTTTTTAATATTTACTTTTAAATTAACAAATTGATTAATGCATGTTTCTAAAGATTTAGTTATAATCTACAGTTGATACCAAATTTGACATGAATTCTTGAAATAGTAGTTCAATAAAATATTGAATATGAGTCAACAAATGAGATGACATAGCCTTTCACCTATGACCCGTCTCAAGAGTTGTAAGTAGGCTGACATATTAACTTTGTCATTATGGGTTTTCCTATGGTCAGGGGTCAAAGAGCATGTAATCAACTTTGTAGACTTACAATGGCTGGAGACGGCTTGAATGGGTAATGAAGAAAAACTTTAATATAACAGCAAATTTACAACGTTTCGACAAGGTTTTGTCAGGTACCTGATGATGATTTGATGTTATATTAAAGTTTTTCTTCATTACCCATTCAAGCCGTCTCCAGCCATTATTAGTCTCAAAGTGGGTTCCTCGTCATCGAATTTGTAGACTTACATTCAAAAATTTATTGATCTACTATTTTATGAATGTATACCAATAATTTTGGTATCAAATTATACATTATAATTCAGATTTTAGTATTATACATTAGTTACTTTCTTAATTTAAAAGTAAATATTAAAAGAAAATTCCTAATATCTATTTTTGTATGTCATTTGGTATGTTGAATGCAGATCTGGTTCAAATTAAATGTTTGTGGTGTCCAAATACAAAGTCTATATTTTTTATGAATTAGAAACTTAAATTACCAATGTTGACAAGATAGAAGGTTCTTATTATGTATTCTATCTTTTCTATTTGCTGAGATATCACTACATTTAGCAAATCCAACACTTTGGAGCCCCACCAACATTTTTCATTTTTGAAAATACTTCCTTACTTACACCTACTTCTGTCTCTGACATGTGAATAACCAACTGAAATCTCGGAATGTGTCCCCCGCTTGGTTTTCGTCAGCCTCTAGAAAATGAGAGGTTTCCAAGGAAAGGGTAGTCGAAAAACATTTTTTTTTTTACCCAAATACAGTTTATTTAGTGAGCCTAATAAATTACAGTGAAATTTTGTGATATTGATAGAGCAATTTATAATATTTGGTTATTTCAAAATGCATAGATAAAACCTAAAAGAATTATTTTATATCATATCCTCCACATGCAAAATTTGACAAAGCTTAGTAAATTATGGCAAGTGGGCAAACCATTACAAAGTTAGTAAGCAGAAAAAATCATTGTTTTCTATATATTTTTATCTACTGCTCTATGTTTTAAGAAAAATAACTGAAATTTAAGAACTTCTTTGTAAATAGTAATAACATATAAAAAATATGTAATGTATTATAACCAAAATGTGACTGTATTTTACCTAATAATGGTTCACTAGAACAAACTGAAGACAGGTCACTTTGTAAAGGCTAGTTTTATACTGTTAGGTATTGCAACTTCTGTGATGTTAGTTAGACTCAGCTGTGAGGTCAATAAAATAGAAATAATAAATATAATTAGATGTATAATGTTTTGAGATTCAAGCTACTTAGACTAAATATTTGTGGTTTCTTGTTATAATTTGTAGTCATTCTAGAATGAAAAAAGTGCAATTTTATACCTATTTCCTAATTTATTTATTTTTTATGTTGGTTACGAGGGCGGTCATACAGAGATACAAAGCAAAAATAGCAGATAAAATATACAGTTTTTTCTAAAAAAAAAGATTTGACAATTATGTGGAGGTTATTAGAACATTATAAAGATTTTTTGATGAAAAAGTATTTTTAATCTCAAAATCAAAATTACTTTGCATGTTGATAGTCAATATTCGAAAAGAAAAAAAAGTGCATGAGCAAATCATTACTTAAGTCTTGAAACTTAATAAAAAATTCTGATATTTTATGTGCTAAAGCCTTGTTATGTTTACCGATAATCTGCAAAATATCATGAAGATACATATACTGTATTAAAAGATACAATCTGAAAACTATAGCAAGCATAATATTGGTATGAAGTCCGTCTCTAGGACTGAGCCCATAGTCAGAGAGTTAAGAGCCTCTGCATGTATACACACATAATACACTCGCTATTTAGATGAAAAGAAAACTAATAAAGTGAATGACATCATTCCCAGTTGTAGTTTATGCATTTAATCAACACACTAATTATTGATTGCAATAAGTTTTACAGGTTTTAAATTGTGTGCCTTACTTTGTTTCTTCACAATATTTATTATATCTCCCAAATTTCCTATTCATTTTTTTCTTTTACTATTTGAGCTCAATGATAAATTATTTATGTGAAAAACAATTCACGTGTAGAGCAGAGGAATGTCTCAAATATCTTGTCAGCCTAGTCACAATCTACACAAAAATGCACCAGTCCTTAAACACATTAATTCTGAAACCTCTCCTGGTAAGCAATGAGTAAGATTTTGAAGTTAAAGTATGCAATTCACAGCTATATTCTCATCCACAAAGTGAAGGCTATAGTAACAAAAGAGAACTCTGTTTCAAAAAGCCATTGCATTGAAGATTATAAGCCACCAAAAATTCACTAGTTTCAAGCCACATCCAAAATCAATTGTTGCTTTCATTAGAAAGATGTTCAGAAAACTGAAATTGCAGCAATCCCTTTTGACCATATATCTGTCAAGAATTCTGATGCATCCACAGAGGACCCTGTGCATTTAGTCTGATATTGGAAGATAGACAATCTGAATGAACAGTGAGGGTTTGTATAAAATTTGTTAACATGTTTTATCTGATATTGATTGACCTTTGCAGAAGTTTGTTACATTGGAAATTATGGTGTGGGGTGGTAATATACAGTTATAGTGATCACATTAAAGAAGATGAATGATGGAGAAAGCATGTCTAAGGGTATCACATGACCTGGAACATTATTCTTATGAAGTGTAATAAACTTCAGTATAAACTTAAGATTTTGAGCTTGTTTTGTAAAAACTGGTTTTAAACTGTTATATGTTGTGTTATACTTATGGTAAGATTATGGAGATCAGATATAAATTTTTTTCTTGTAGATTGATCTTTAAGTTTACTTTTGTAAGAAATTATAAAAGTATTTGGCATTTATTTGTTATTTTTTCTTTGTTAGATGGAGCATTAAAGGCTCATGGTGAGACTAAAGGAAGTGACATATTGAACCATTTTAATACAAACTTTGAGCAGTCCTTAGGAGACAGCCACACTGTTTTTATTAAGGGTCTTGGGGGTTATCCCCTCACCTCCACCTCTGGATCTGTGATAACTAGCTCAAGCTTTCCTGGTGTGCAGGGTACAATTAACTTTTCAACTTCCATCGAAAGAAACTTTTACAATTACAATGCTCATTTTGAGGATGAAATACCTCAGAAAAGTTCTAATCGAGCCAGTCAGTGTTCAAGTTCTTCCATGGAAGCCAGATGCACCCAATACCAGGAAGGCACACACATGTGCAGCAATAGTCAGAGTGCACAATCTCCCAAATTAGACTGTGGGGAGAGTGGAACTCAGGGCAGCAGTCTCACTGCAACTACAAAAAACCCCTCAGGGGCCAAATTTTCTGAGTTATATTGCAGTTCTCAAATTGATTCATCAAGCACATTACAGCCTGTACCATGGCAAAATATGCAACAAGCATTAAACCACTTAAAAGATTTAAGCTGTCCAATGTTGGAAAGTTTACTTCCAGAAATTGGTACTGAATCAGATACACCAAGTCTGGTCAAAAAAAGTAACATTGACAGCCATTCCACTGGTACTCTTCTGGATGTAACTAAAATGAAAAATTATCCCTCAAAGGCCAGAAGTGATGTAGTTTTGGAGAACTTTGATGAAAATGACATTATAAAAGAGAAAACAAAACTGTGCAATGCTCATAACACCATTTTCTCAAAGTGGCAGGGAACAACAGATGACATGTCCAGCTCATTCATTGGGTCGCACATTCCAAATTTGGACATTATGAATAATCAAAATAATAAAATTGTTGGTTCCAGAAATGATTCTGCATTTAGTACAACTCAAAATTCCTACACTTCTCAGAATACTAGTGAAAAATTTAAAGGTTATGAAGGACTAATAGGAGCAGTAGGGGGATGTGACCCATCCTTTGAAAATAATAATTATGAAGAGGCCAAAAATCTGCAAAAAACCAAACAAAAACGTGTACCTCCAATCCGCCTTGGACTTTTGGGAGGTGGAGAAAACTCTTTGAGTAATGGAACTTCAACGTGGGGTCTTACTCCACCTGGAAATGCTGCTGCATCTAACTGGAATGTAAATAGTAATGGGAATGCTGGAAATCAGTGGAATTCTGCAGGAAGACAGGGAGGACCAAGCATGCCCCCTGATAGTAACTGTAGTGGCCAAGGTAAGGTTGAAGTTGAAAAAATGTTCAGTGATTTAAGTTTCCTAGTTTAGCTAATTCAGCAATCTTTTATCTTCATGTTTTTTTTTAATTTGTTTTAAAACATTAAGTTTTTATAACATTTGAGTGATATACCTTATTAATTCTTAGCAAAAGGATGTTAGGGTTTCTTGTATAAGTGGGCTGGGATTCTTCTACAGTAGGTGTCTGTGACCTGTTGGAGATAAATGTTAACAATAAATGGACAGCATGCAATCAGTTTGTTTTAAAATACTATATTAAAAACAAGTCAAAAATGTCTACAAAAAAACTCTTAACACTATCTGTTTTCACCATTGTAACTAAGACTAAGTAATTGTAATTTCTTGTCAAAAGTCCACACAGGCCAGTTCAGTTACTTTAGAACCTAGTTAGCATGGTGAATTATTTTTTCTCTCTTTTATCACAATACAGCAGTGATAAATTCACTTATGTTGTATCCAGAACTTCAAATAATTGTCTCCTGTTGGTCAAAGTCCACACAAGCAGGTTTAATTACTTTAGAACACTCTTTACGAAGACAAATTATTTTCTTTTATCTCTATTATTACAATACTGCTGTGAAACTCACTTTAAATATTGCCCGTTACAGCTAAGCTAACAATCACGCAGCTTAACTAAACGTTTGCTGGCTTAACTTTTTCTGACTAACTTCATTACTAACTTCTTTAGAAATTGCCCATCACAGCTAAACTTCCAATCACTCAGTCTGTATCTGTCTAATTATCTCTTGCTTGACTTGCACTCACTTGGTTGCCTATATTTATACATTTTCCAACCAAGACCTAGAACTTTCTACAAACTAGGAGATACTATGATGCAACAATAGAAACTTAAGACAACGAGAGAAATACGGAAGGTTCAAGTAATGTGACGTCAATTTACAACAGTTGAACTACACACACAATGTATGACTCTTACTGAGTTAAGTAACAAAATTTGTCATAACTATTGCTTTTAAAATAATTTACTATAAACCCTCTTGTTATGAAAACTAGATAATCATTAAATATTAAATCACTAAATGTAATAAATAACTCTTACTTAAATAATCTTGTATATCAACAAAGGAACACATTTGTGTGCTTAATCCATTGCAAAACACATTGGATAATTTGTATTTTTAGCAAACTATTCACTTATTTGACAATGGTATTTCCAATACAAATAATATGAATTATTAATCTAAAGGTTTCTTATTCCTTATGTAGTTTAACAAAGCTCTTTTTTGTTATATTTTCATAAGTACTGGCAATTATTTTAGAATCACGTTAGTGAAAATAACACTAAATTATTTGTTTACAAATTATTTATAATTGCTGAAATGTCATTTTGCCTAAGAATTTGGCTTAGAAAATTATTAAAAGAAGTTTGATGTCCATACAAGAAATTTAGAATGAATTAGTATTACTTTGGTACAAGAATTACAATAAGATAAATCTATAAAGTTATACTTGTAGTATGATTATGGAGATCACATATTAGTTGTTGTCATACTTAGAAGTCTATACAATCACCTTATTAATTTAATTTTTTATTGTTCTTGCTTAATAGTTTAGCTAAACTCCTACATTTCAGCTGCTAATCTGCAGTTACCTTCAGGAAAGTTCTGAGAATGATGATAAGTGGTATCAGTGCCAGATTCAATTCTGTTTTTTATGTGTGTGTGTGTGTGGGAAAGGCTGGTGTGGAATCCACTTGTCCAAGGTCTTCTTCATTAGGACTTTAATCAACTGTTTAAATGGTTTGTAATCTCAAGAAAATTACATGCACACACAACCATATACTTTTATATGAGAGAAAACATAAATATACAAACAGCATAAAGTCAGAACAGTATTCAGAAGCCAGAAAACTGTTATCACAGTTAGAACACACCAAAACACCCTAATATCCAATGGATTGCAAAAACACCATTAGCAACACCTTTTATGAATATGGGCTCCTGTACATTGGAGAGAGAGAAAAGGACCAACAAAAGTCAGAATTCAGGAATATAATACACACACACAAGACACAGTGCTATAGATAATTATTTTCTGTAAAGAATAATCACTCCCAGAATTTTGTCCGTGGGAATAACTTTTTTTACAAAGTGCAGCAGTAACATTTTGTGATAAAAAGCAATTTAACTAATGATGAGATATTTTGTTATTTCAAAAGGTGAAATTTGGCACAGGATTAATTTAACAAATCCAATCACCAGATGTAGTAATAATACACACAACTAATGACATTGCAATTTTTTCTTTTACTTTTTTACACAAAATTGGATCATTCACAAGTGCAATTAGAGAGCACTTATTTTGCAGCTCTACTGTTTGAACTTCACAGATTTTGTGCAGAACTGCAGAAAGCCACAAGGGTGTGACCATTAATTACTGTATGACCGTTAAAGTGGAAGAAGCGATATTTGTTTTTCCATGGCAGTAAAAGAACTTCTCTTCTTTTAAGGCTGTAAATGGCTAATTTTTGGTTGTGATTTACAGTGGTAGGCCTTTTATCTGAAGCACTAATAAGACATTGTTATGCAGATCTTTCTGCAGCAGCAGCTTATGCCAGAGGTAAATACCATATAATAAAATGGAGTAATAATCGTGGGATATAAACAACACATGAGAAAATGATTAAAAAAAAGCTATCTACATCCACCTAACTGATAAAATGCTCAGTCAACCTTGCAGAGACATCTGTCTGAATACACCTCTCTTGAAACCACTGAAATAGATATTTAATTTGACCCCTCCTTTTGTGACTTCCCTGAATAAAACAGAAGATTACCAGTCAAAATGTAGGATGTAAATGAATTGGCAATGGTGACAACAGTAATTATGATAATATAAACAAAGGTAGTAACTAATTAATAATAGGACTTTGGTATCTTTTAGGCTACTAAGACAATGACTGTGAAGCTGTACTTTCAAAATAATAGTGGCCATTGTTTATTTTTGAAATTTGCAAAACAACTGGGTGAAAGCTAACGTGTATTAAATTTTTGACAACAAAATTGGTAAACAAGATTTGTATTCACGTTTTTAAACTATTTTAAACCTTTGGGTATCCTTTAACATTTCAAAACTATAAAGCTACTTATGTATTAAATAGTTCATTTAAAAACTTTCTTTAATTTTGCAGTCCTTCCTAATTAACAGTTGTCTGAATGTGAGAAACAAATGACAGTAATTCAGACAAGTAGTTCCATTCCCTGACAGACAAAGTGAAACAAAAATCATTGTTTCTTACTTTATTTTTCATGTTCACTGTTGGTAGTTATTTTGTTTTTACATGGACATTAACAAAATTTATAAATTAATTCTGAATTTGGTATGTCCTATATACTTCTAATATTAATAACTATCTCGTTTGAGCCATGTGCATTATTGTATCAATATGTTGTCATTATTAACATTTAATAAAAGTTGTGATTGTCAGATTATTGTTTTTCAGACATTTAATACATTTTGATTATAGTAAATACTTGTATTTCAAAGTTATTTATTTAGTGGTTGAAATGTTAGTTCTGAATGAATGTATTTACTCAAAGCAAATTGCTTCTTATGACCTGCATGAGGCAGGCAATAGAGTCCAGGCTTATTATTTAAGAAAGGAGTGAAAAGTAATGTGTACAGAATTTTTTAGCTCATGATAAAAACATTTGAAGGTACTTATGGCAAGTGCAATTTAATATTGGACAACTGAACAATGGCATATACCTTACATACAGTTCAAGTACTTTAAAATAATTAGCATTTAGCTTTACATTGTTTGTTTTGTTAGTGTGAATGTTTATTTTTCATTTTTTTAGTCGAAAAAAGTCAGTGTAAAGACAATGAACAGTTAAGAAAATTTTATTTCACGTTTACAAAGTACACTTTTTTTTTCAATCTTAAATTTTTATTTAATTTGGAGTCAAGCATTTACTGTAGTGAACATTTCAGGAATGTCACCTCCAAAGCAACATAGTACCTGGGCACAGGCTGCTGGCAAAGGGCTTACTGGCCCTTCGCAAACAAATGGTAATCCCACTAATGGAAACCGTAGTATTGGTTCAGTAGATCAAGGTTCCCATGGGGCAAATGACCAACTGGTCAAACCTTGTATTGAAGAATATTTGTCTGAACATCAAATATCCGCAGTTCTTAGTGAAGGATGGGGACAGAGTGTAAGTTTCAATTATATGCTCATTGTAAGCCTTTGAAGTTTAATTTTCTCTTCAAAGTATAGTGTGTGTGTAGATCTTGAATAGCCAGTTTATATTGTTATATACATTTGCTTGTACTCCAGTTGTCATACATTGTGCCAAAAATGTAAACTTTAAGATAAAGAACAAGTAAGACCTCTTTCCAACATTTTGATATCTTAGGGTTAATAAATTGAAGTATTTCAGTTTTAAAAAATTGATTAATATGTTTGCTTTACTTTATAATTACCTATGATATATTTGAAATTAATTAAAAAGTATAAGAACTTTTCAAATGTCTCATAATTTGAAACTTATTTCCAACTGAGCTGTAATATGTAATGACTTACTGTAAAGTATTTTTCTTCTCTTTGACAATCACTGCTGTATAAATTTCTGAACTGTTCTCATGTAATATGTTGTAAGTGGGACTTAATTTTCCAGCTAAAACACTTTTGTTTGACATGAACTATGCATAGAGTTCTTGAGTTAGCACTCAACATGTTACTTATCAAAAGTATCAGAATCTTTGCCAATGTAGGAGATAATATTTCAAGAAAAGTATTTTTTCAGCTCAATATTGAATTTATGTTTTTAATAAAATTTAATTAAACTTTAATCTCTAGACCATTAATCAAGACACACTGTGGGATGTCCCACTCTCACCTCATTCTAACTCCAAAGAAGGTAACAGTTTTGTGTGGAAAGCACCAGCTAATAATGGTACAGAAATTTGGGAAAATAACATTCGACATCGCAATAAAGGAAGTAATGTGAATGCTCCTAGCCGCAATAACTCTCAGCCTTGGGGCCACACTCCTTCAACAAACATTGGAGGCACGTGGGGTGAAGAGGAAGATAACACTAACATGTGGACAGGTGTTCCCCAGCCTGAGGGAAATAATTGGAGTGGCATAGACAATGGATCAAATATGTGGGGCAGCTCTTCTCATAACAATAGACAGGGACAGTGGACTGGACCTGGTCATGGAGGATCATGGGGTAAATATTGTAGATTTACAGTTAATATTTTAAACTGTAAGAAAATTTATGATCCTGTAAAATATAGCTAAAAATCAGGGCAAACTTAGAAATTTCAGATAGGTTTAACTCTACAAAATTGCTAGATGTATGTGTTAGTTTATTTTAAACCTCTTAATAGGTCCAGTGCAGAAAATAATAATAAAAACATTACTTTTCTTAACCTCGCTAGTACCAAAGATTTGAAGCTAATGAGCCATTAATCCTTTCGCAATGGGAGCCCCTTTAAACGCTTTTTTGTGCAAGTCACTGTGTTACATTCAAAATGTAATTAAACACCTTTACTATCAATGTGTGTGAATAAAATTATAATGTATATTATGATTTGAAGTTTTATTTTATCCAAGTTTTAATTTCTTTATTTCAAAATAAACCTTTAAAAACTACTCAAAACTTCATATGTATTGTCACGTGACCAGCAAGCTATGAAATTCTCTACTTTGGCTCTATATTTTCAATAATGCAATTGTAGTTGGTTAGAGGTATGTCTAGACAATTAGATGCTTATATAATCTTTTGACTCATTCATTTCAAAGTCATCTGAAAAAATATAGTTTAAACAAGTAATAAATTTTTCAACCCCTCACAGCTGCAATGCCCATCTTCAACAGATTTGTTTGAGCTTTATAGCCTACATGTAGATGTTACATACACATGTGTATAGCCATTGAAAAGAGCTTATTTTATGCTATAATCTAACATCTGTTATTTTGAAATTGGCACACAGTTGTTGTCACAAAAGTACATGTAACTGACTGTAGTATTATTAGCTGCTTGATCGACTATAGCACTTACGGTTGTTTCTTATCTAAATACTTTATAGTTAAAATATGTTACCGTTTAAATTGTTTTAAGGTCTTACAAATATTTTGCCAAAAGTCTGCTTATGTCTCCCAAAGAAACTGTAATATGCCCTGAAGTCACCATTCACTTGTGTTTAGATGAATAGTAAGTGGTAAAGGACAAGAAAGGAAAGTAAATCATCAAAAATCTAACTATGTGTGAAAAGGAAAAGATGAATTTATGAATTTTACAAAAGGAAACTCCTTAAAAATATTCTACAAAAAATGAAAAGTTATGTATTTTTTGTCTATTTCCTAATTTTCATTGTTGCATTGTACATTGATGATAAAAGCTAGTTAGTGATATGGTAGAGAAAATGAAAAATAAAATTTTTAACTTTACCTTAAAAAAAGCTTTTGATATCCATTGAGTGGTTCTAGAGATCATGCAAATGAAATATGAAAGACTATAAGAGGAAGAAAAGTATTTTTATACTTAGAATGAAAATCACCTTGCACTCGATTTGTTAATGGTTTGAGTACAATAATAGAGAAGTAAGATAATTTTAGTAAAAACTTAATTATAATAATGACATTCTGTGTACAAAATACTTATGATCTTTAACAAAATTTTGCTAGTTTTTGAGAGGAAACATAAAAAAATCTGAGTTACCGTGTGTATTGTTGTAGCAGTGAAATTTGCAACTCAATTTTCGCAAATTGCACAAGCCCGCTATGAAAGGGTTAACCGTGTCATGACTGGTGAGCACCTTTCAGGTGTCGCTTGCACAGCTCCATACCAAATTTCAAAATTTAAGTAAAAATAATAATTCTAACTCTCTTCCAAAATATTTCTCAGAAATATTTAGAATTGATATTATGTCATTTTATAACATTTATTTAGTGTGATTTAGGTAGTAAAATGAAAAACATTTCAGCATCACTTTCTGCACACTTCTGAAGAGTCTCACCTGTAAACAACACATTTGAATTTTGTTTTCTGCACATCCCAAAGTATAGGTTTATATTGGTATAGGAAATCCCTTGAAAATATAGTGATTAATGTCTTCTATATCATAAGATTTTCCTTCTTTGTTTGTGGTTTTGCTACTACAACACTTCATTACCATCTTTTTATGATGTCTTATATAAGGTCTGAACAATTTCTAATGAAGCTCAGCAAGAATAGCTACAACTAATGTTTGAATGTGATTTGTATAGATCAGACTGTAAACTGTTTTCCTCAGTGTACAGTGAATAAAATGATTTTGAGCAGTAATTTGTGGTTCTTCAAAATATGAATTAACTGGATCTTCTGTAGGGTTGAGCTAAGGAATTGAATGGGAAGCTTAAAACAATTAGAAACAAACCACAGGTCTAGGAAATTTGTTTCAGTTTCTGTAATTTTTTTTTCATACTAAATTATATCTATTTGAAAGCTAGAAGACTATGGAAAGTCATGAGGTAAGCTTAGTAACGTTTTGTGAATACAGTTGGTGATGACAAAATATTCTGAACATTTAAATATTTATTTATAAAGGATATTTAAGTTTATTGTATACCGACAAAAAGATATACTAACTAGTGTCCTGCTTACACTCCATTTATTATAAAAAACTGAAGAATTGTCTTCATGTAATATTTCTTTGAATGTAATACAAGAAACTACCACACTTTTTTTTTCAAAATACCTCCTGAAAAATTGAATATGCATTATATTCACACACGTTCAGTGTTATGTATTTTACTAGAAGCTACTACTGAAAATCATTAAAGTGTCATTAAAGGTTTAAAAGAAATGTTGCATACCCAATGCAATAGATGAGACATGCCGCAGGAATTGGAAGAGATGAAGCAAAGGTTTAAGGAAGTAAATCTGATGGTAGCGATGATGAAGATTTATGTGAAAATGAATGATTAGCTTAATTTATTACCATTTATAAATTTTTCAATAAATTTTGTAAAATTGACACGTAAAATATTTTAATGAAAGATTTCCAAAAATATTTAATACCTCAATAGTTGTTTACTGTATTTAGACATTATTGAATACATTTTGTACAACTGATGTTTAAAGAAACAAATCTTTAGAATTTAACCTTTCAAAATTAATATGCATTATATGCGGGGGGGCTCATTATATTTGGTAAATATGGTAAGCTTACTGAAAATTAGATAACTTTCATATCAAAAATAGTATATTCAAATGCTTCTACAGTCATCGTAGTATGTTTGAAAGAAAAGTTACACATTGTTATGATTATAATACGCACTCGCACACAAATATATATACATATATATATATATAATTGATTCTTGTTTTGATAAATACATTAGTATATACAAAATATTTGTTTTAAAGATGAATCAGGAGGAGGAGAAGGAAGCAGTGGTCCAGGTAATGGACAAGATGGTGGAGGTCCAGCATGGAATCCAGTAAACAAGACACCAAATATTGGTACTTGGTCACCTGTAACCACTCCAAAAAAAGATTTACAAGCTTCAGGATGGGAGGAGTCTTCTTCAACACAGCGCCGTTCAACATCTGGTTTTGATGACGGTACTTCTGTGTGGGGAAATCCTCAGAGACAAGTGAAAGCGTCGAATTGGAAGGAAATGCCTCTTGCTAAACCAGTAAATGGAATGGGTGGGCCTGGAATGGTAGGTAACAATATGATATCTTGTGGACCTAATATTCCACCAGTTGGTCCAGGTATGATTCATCTGCCTCCACCCATTAATCCATCAAGTAAGCCAGACATGGGAACTTCAATGTGGGGAAAAATGCCACCAACAAATCATGGGCAAAATTGGCCAGACATGCCTCGCAGAGATACCCAAGGTTCAGGAACTTGGGATGAATCTCATATGCAACCTATTTTGAAGAACATGCCAGGAACTACAGGTTGGGGGGAGTCAATGGGGCCACCTTTTTGGGGTGCTAAACCCAAGAGTACTACTTTACCAAGCTGGTTTGAAGGACATGTTGATACTAGTAACTGGATTCCAATGAAGGTGAGTGAGAAATTAGTACATGCACTTTACTGTTGAGTAAAGACAAACATAGAATTTTGGGTATTCATCCCATCTTGTTTCTGTACTTTTTGGCATTGCCATCCCTACATCATCCTTTTTTTCTTTTATTTCTTGTTTCCCTTCTTTTTTTAAATGAATGGCAGTTGCTATGAAGGTAGCAATTTTAGCCTGGTGTGTTGTTTTGATGGACATCATGTGTTGAAGTTAGTGAAATGCTATACTGCTTCTGCACTCCCAAAGTTAAAATGCAACATTTTGGTGTGTAAATCATTGCAACAATTTCAAGCATTGGTGAGCTAGCCCTTCTGATAGCAGAATCAGAAGAACATTTTGCTGTTATGCTACTTACCAGTTCTCTACTTTAGCAATGTTTTTTGGCTAAACTGAAGGTCTTAATAGCTTTTGAAAAACCTAAGTTAGGTGTTTATAAAAGTCTCTTAGGTTGTTATAAAAGATATTTGAGACTATGATGAGCAATATGTAATGTCAGCCATTTTTTTCCTGGCCCATCCCTACATACTAAGCACTACCGTGCGTAGTGATTACTGTTCCATGTATTGTTCTGTTGCTAATTACAGTAGGTAGCTCATAGGTGAAAATGTATAGTGTGTGTGTATGTGTAATATATATATTCATCTGTGTATGTTTAACCAGTATAGTTGTAAAGAAACCACACTGTTCTAATACAACAAGTCAAACTGACATTTATAAAAACATTTTGTTTATAATTCTAGCAATATCCTAAGTGCAGTATAGCTATTTTTTGTAAACATCATAGAATTACAGAATAATAAGCATTCATGGTTGCATCGCAGTATCCTTGAATGATTAAATGTTAGTGTTCTTGAGAAATGTGTATACCAGAATTTGAATACACAACTGAGATACAAAAAGAATGTATTTGGAACATTTCTTCATATCTTTTCGGCTGTAAGTTGAGATGTGACATACTTCCATGATGATGGATCCTCACTTTCAAATACTCATTGATTATAATTTTCACTAACATGATGAGGTGTCTTTTTACAACATCATGATGAACCATAAAACTTATGATTCACCTTTTGTTTTTTTTGCACATGAAATATCTTCCATGGGTTTTATTGATATCTGAGAACAGAATCTGAACAAGCAGAGTAAAATAAGTGCTTGTGTACATTATTTGTAGCAAAGCAAGCTATATGAAACTGTTAGCTTATTGAAAGTTAACAGTTTGGTGTTATCATTTAGTATGCAGATTCCTCATTGTAAATGAGAAGAAGCATCTTATATGTAGCAAATGTAATCAGAAAGTAGCACAGGATATTAACTATTAAAGTACTTGGTAAGTCATTAATATTAATTTGTTCCTTTCATAAGCAGTTGTAAACATAAGATTTGTAAATTAAGTTACTAACAAATACTTCTTTTTCTATTCATTAGGGTGGTAAACCACTAACTAGAGATCTGATTTGTGCAAGTAAACAGTTCCGCCTTCTTTCAGAAATGGGCTTCAAGGTAAGCAACAAATTGCAAGTTGACTTTTCTCTTAGAACTGGACTGTTGGTAGTTTATTATTTGAGAAATGGTATTGCAGGAAATGATTTATTTATTTATTTACTTTGTCTTCTTTTTTGCTTTGTGAGTCCACTGAGCTCACTATCAACAGGAACCATCTCAAAATGTAAAAATATATGTACTCCATTAAAGGGAACAAGACTGAATTTTTTTTTATAAATAGTAGAAAAAATAAAAAAATAAATAATATATTTTTCTCTAACTATAAACTTTTAGGAGCTTTCTTGTCAAATTTTAAACAATTTCATCTACCAGTTTTATTTTTGGAATGAAATATGAAGAGAGTAATGTTAGCTACAAGTAAAATTTGTACCTGAGTCTAATAGGGTTAATATGATGATGGACCACCAGCTATTTATAAGGGTTGGGACATTAAAGTATAAAATAATATATATTTTTAGGGGCAGGAAATAATATTAACACAAGTTAATAATAATAAGAAACAAGAAAATTCAAGAAGTTACAACCTAAGTTAATGCTGGTCTTGTGGTTTGAGTGAACTTGATGATGGAACACCAGCTATCTTTAAAGTACTTGTCCGACAAGCCAGGGGCTGAGTGTGGCCTTGTGGTTAGTATGTCAAACTGTTCACAGAGGGTTCGTGGTTCATGTCTTCTTGCCACAAAATTTTGTTCTACATATGGGACCATGGGTGCATTATAAGAGCGATGGTCCAATTTCAATATTTGATTTTAATAGTCCAAGAATTGGCATTGTGTTTGTATTTTTTGGGATCTGGAGATTGTACAATTATTAATTATACACCATCATGGGAGTTAGGTATACCTTGTGTGCTAAACACCTAATTTCAATTGAAGAAAAGCTTTTTATTATCTGTGCATTTATTCTATTGTTGATCTATGAGTAGAGGAATGTATATATTTCTTACTGAAATAGTGTATTATAAAACTAAATTGCATCATAAAAAATATATTTAACATAATAATAAAAGAAAGAGAAGGAGTTAGCATGTTCAGCTAGATAAGTCTTTAAAAGCTATTAATCATGCAACAAATAAAGATACTTACACAGAATATTGTCAGTATAACTGTAAGCCTATTTTATGAGAATAATAGGCTTTATTTTATTAAAATCGTCATTTTATGTCTCAAGTAGGTCATAGTGACTGGTGAGTTGGTAATATATTGCATATGTAGTTCCATTTTGTCAGAAATCTCATGTAATGGTGATTTTTGTGTTTTGAAAAGAAATATTGACTATTAGCATGGTTATGCAATTTCAATATATCTTAGTGTTTATGAGTTACTGTAGGAAAAACATATCTGAGTTATGAGGAAAAAACATTCATTTTATATAACAGTAGAATGATGAGACCAAAAACAAAATGATTTCTTAGTTTTTAAATGAAATGTTCAGGAATACCACAGTGTTTTTCATAGCTCAAAAATATGATGCCCTGTAATTCGAGCACTTTTGAAAGATGGACTTTTCATTTTCATGGGCAAACTGGGAAGAAGAAAGGTCCACCTTTTGAAAGTGCTCATGTTGTTGGGTATCATATTTTTGAGTAAGCCTTTTACTATGGGTGGATGGATTCCACCTAGCCCATAACCATAAAGTAGTTATACTGTAACTTTTTAAAATGTATGCATATCATCATGAAATTGTGCAGATTATCAGTAAACGTTACGAAGCTTTCAAACATGAAATATCAGATTTTTTAATTGATTTTTTGCTCATGCATTTTTTTTTTCAAATGTTGACTATCCAACATGCAATGTAATTGTGATTTTAAGATTACAAATACTGTTATGCATCAGAAAATTGTCAAATTTCACATGCAAAACCTCTAACCTTTCAGATAATTATCAAATTGTTTTTTTTATTTTATCTTTTATTTTCACTATTTTATCTCTGAATGGGTTTGGTTGATTTGACCAACCTCGTAACCACCATAAAAAAACAACGAAATAGATATAAATTACCCTTCTTTTTTTTGTTCTAGAATGGCTATAAGTTATAACATGAAACCACAAATGTTTATTTTAGATATATTAAATCTCGTAACATTATATATCTATATGTGTGTGTGTGTGTGTATATTTTATTTTTTTTTTTTTAATTTTATTTTATTGGTCTTTCAGCCATGTCTGACTAGCGTAACACAAGTTGCAGTGATGCAGTGCACATGCATTCATGTTACTGTATTCAATAGTATAAAACTGGACTTTAAAAAGTGCAACTGTCTAAGCTTTGTCTTAGTGAACCAGTATTTTATAGAACACGATCACATTTTGGTTATAATACATTACATAACTGTATATAATATTATTATTTACAAATAAAATTTTAAATTTCAGTTGTTTTTCTTAAAACATGAAAGAAATAAAAGAATATAGAAAACAATGATCTTTTCTACTTACAAAGTTTGTATCTGTTTGCTGCTTGCTGTAATCTGCTAAGCCTTGTCAAATTTTGCATGTGGAGGATGTAAAACAAAATAACTAAGTTTTATATATGGTTTTTGAAATAACAGTCATAAATTACTATATCAATACCATAGAAATTCACTATAAATTATCAGGCTTACTAACTGAGCTGTATTTTCTTTCACATATCCTCCACGTGCACAATTTTGAAAGGCTTAGCAACCTACGTCAAGCAGCAACCGAGTACAAAGGTCATAACAAGAAGAGAGAATTGTTTGTTTTACTTCTTCATTTACTGTTCTATGCTTTAGGGAAAATAAGTTTAAGAACTTATTTCAAAATAGCAATAATTTATATACATATTTAATGTATAATAATTGAAATGTGATTATTTTACAAAATACTAGTCGACTAAAACATAGCCAATATAAGTTATTTTTTTTGTACAGACCAAAAGTCTGTATTTGATACAGTAACATAGTGCACATGAGCCGCATCGTTGTAACTTCTGTATTGTTAGCTAGGCATGTCTGAAAGGTCAATATAATGAAAATTATAAATATATACAAATGTGTAATGTTATTAGATTTAAGCTATTTAATCTAAACATGTATGTTTTCATGTTATAATTTGTGTTCATTCTAGAAAGAAAGAGGCAAAATTTATATTTGTTTCTTAATTTTTTATGGTGGTTGCAAGATCGGTCAAATCTACTGAACTTGTACAGAGATTATTTACTGAAAATAACAGATGAAGTAGAAAGTTTTTTCTTAAGAAATGTTTCATAACTATCCGGACATTATAAAGCTTTCCCATGTGAAATTTCAAAATTTTGTGATGCATAAAAGTATTTTTAATCTTAAAATGAAAATTACTTTGCACGATAGATAGGCAAGATGTGAAAAAGAAAAACAAAAAAGACCGGGCTGAAAGAGTTAATGGGAAAACGTATGCAAATGTGAAAGGTGTTAAAGAGGACATCGTCATGTTTTTTGCTTCAAAGCCAAGTGATTTCTTTAATCAGGACATTAACAACCTGATTGTAAGATAGAAAAGCATCATCGATAAGAATGGAAACTATTTCATTTAATAAATGTTTTGTTTTGATATATAAGTTGTTTGGGTTCTTTCATCTAAAAAAAAAGGCAGCATTAATTTGTTGAAGACCTAATACATTCACAGAATAGAAGTGTGAATAAAATTTTGAATGTAAATTTACAAATCTAGTGACATGCCCTCTGACCCTTATCCATAATAAAAAAAGCATGTTAAACTGATGTCTTGCACCTGTGTGTTTTCCCAACATCATGAACAATGTGTTTTATATTTAAGTATCATGTGGATGAGAAATTAACATTTATATTTCATGCAATTGAAAACTAAACATAAGATAAGAAAAACTGTTTAAAAATATATATATATATATATTTGTGTGTGTGTTATATTTTTCTTTAACCCTAGAATGCCAGAGTAGTTAGTTTAGTATACAGGTTGAACTTGTATGAGGTCATACTGACTCCACATATGCATTCTAGGGTTAAAGATATGGACAATGAATAAAAATCTTATTATAAAGCATAGTTTTCTTCTTGCATTGTGTGATCTGTTGTAAAAGCTTTGCTTCATACAGATTAGTAGCTAAAGGGTTTTTTTCGTTGACAAATCAAGAACTTATGGGTTTTTATAACACTATTATGTTAAACAATAGGATCCTTTTACAATGATTTTGTGATGAGTGAAACGTTTAAAGATTTCAATATTCAGTTATATACCAGTGTCATAATGAAGCATAATATACCATCCTCAGAAACATACAAAGGACTCATCACTACTTTTGTTTTACCATTATAAGTTTCCGTTTTTTTTTACCAATTCATGCTTTGTCAGGTTATTCAGGAATAACCTTTAGAAACATTTACCATGGAAATATTAAGTTATCAGAAATGTAGTTTCACCTGAAGAAGCTAGTTAAAAAAAAAGTTGTTAATATATCATTTGATTTAATAGTTATTTGTTGTAGTCTTTAACTTTATCTATTAAAAAAACATCGTACAGGTTATTTGCTTTGTGTTGCATGGATGTAGTGTATTAGAACATATTGCATAATCTAATGGCATTTGGTACTGTTTGCCAATGGTGAAATGCTTATATTGGTCCTCAAGTAAATTTTCATAAAACCGAGTGTTATTTTTTGTAATTGTTTCAGAAAGAAGATGTAGAAAATACTTTGAGAAGTAATAATATGAATTTTGAAGAAGCACTTGGTAAGTATGCTGTTCTACTCATCTGGTAATTTTCTATAAAAACCACTGTTATTTTAAAATTTAGAAAACTATGTATTTTGAAAAACCATGTTACTGTGGAGTTTGCATTTTTTATTTACTTTTTTCACAAGGGACCTATGTGTTTCAATTTATCAGAGTTGCACTATTTTTCAAAATGACTTTCTTCTTGTTTCAATAGTCTTTTCATTGAAAAAAAAAAGTAGTGAAGAGTTTGGCTAGCTTAATCTATGTTATTTACATATCTTAAAATAAAAAAAATACTGAGTTGTATTTAATTACAATAAATTCTAATGATACTCGTAAGATCTATATAATAATGTTAAGTGTAATTTCTGATAATATATCCATTGGTATTTGGAGCATTTGTGACCTCTTCATTTTGGTCCATTGATCCAGGATCAATTATGCTATCCATTTATATATAGTCCAGTCAGTATACTAGATTAGCAGACTAATAAATAACTTTAAAATAAAATGTCATGTGGAAATATATTTGCCGATTATCATGGACAAAAATATTACAGTTGCACATCTTTGTTGTGCACTGACATAAGAAAGGTCAAAGTTGAAATGACTGGTAGGTTAGATAGTGTAGTGAACATCTCTTGGGAAGAGGGTTATAGGTTAACTATGATAAACACATATAATTATGTACATTTTCACTTTATAACTTGTGTTCTGTTTTCAAGTTTACACAGTGACTAAAAATTTAATTAAACAACTTTGCTAGCATTGTATGTCAGTCAACTTGGTATCAGAATATAGTTTAGAATTCTAATTCTTTTATTATTTAATTTTTAATTTCTTAGTTTCAAAGGAACATATTCAGAAAAATCTTCATTTGTCACTTGATATACACGTGCTTTCAATTTTAGTTTATACAATTTCAGTAGTATAGCTTCTTCGGTTTCTAATATAAACACAAGCTATAAATAATATCAAGGTCAAATGTACAATTTCAACATTCTAACTTTTCTATTTGCTGAGATATTAATATATTTTTCCAGTCCATGACAGAAGCCCTGCCCACCTATCCTTAACTTTGAAGAGTTTTTGAAGTCCGGGGTTCTTATTTGATGTACATGTTTATAATGAATGAAAAGAGCTTTGTTTTTTTTTTGTTTTAAGCTTGTAACCATTCTTCTGAAATTGGCAGGAATAGATGTTAGTTCTGAGTGAAATTACTGATGTATGTTTGTGTAAGTGAAGTTGTTGCTTATAGCATTAACAGAATACTTTTACCCTATTTATAGCTTAATTAGAAAGGCTGTTAAATGTTAGTAGTTTTGGAACAATTATTCTTGTGATTGATATTTTTTTTATTGTAAAATGCATATTTGAAAGGAACATGAATTTGTTTTGGACAAACAAACTCAAGAGTAGAAAAACTAGGCATAATAAGACAAAAAAGATAATGTTCATTCTATTTCATAATTTCATCTTTCAATGTTTATTGATGATTTGGCTGCAGTTAGTGTTAGGGTAGAGAAAATAACAGAATATAAGGTTATACCAAAAACAACTTCCAATATCCATTTAGGAGGCTCTAGAGGTTTTGCAAATGCAACGTGAAACTGTAAGATGAAAAAGGAATTTTTATTCTTAGCATGAAATTTAACTTGCATTTGGAATTGAGTTTGGTTGACCAGTAAATACTTTGGAAGATCAAAGACATGTATGTTTAGTATAAATATTTATTAAAAATTATGATTTTTTGAGTACAACAAACTTGTAATGTTTACTTAAAGCTTGCCAAAATTTGTGAAGATATACTTATTAAATTCAGTTCTAGTATGTACAGATTCAACATTTTTGGGCCTCGTGCAAACAAATTGAGCCATGGTTGAAGGGTTGATGATTGAACACATAAGGCTTTCATGATTATTTTATATTTCATTGCTGATAGATAAATGAATCATGTTTTAGGAAATGAAGAACATACTGTAATTTCTTGTATAAGAATTTTGGAAGACATATTTATCTTTTGTTAGCTGAACTCCAGGCAATTGCCAACAGAGAAAATGCAATGATGGATGTTTTTGGTAGTAATCAGAAAATGCGACATAACATGGCAGATGATGCAAACTTCATTGATCATTCTGGCGATATATCCTGTGGACCAGGAACTGTACATTCATATGGTGGAGGATACAGTGGTGCTCAGGGTTTTAAGCATCAAGTTAAGGTATTCAGTTTGCTTTGGAAGTTGCATTTTGTTTTTGTTTTTATATTGGTAGTTATACATTTCTGTTATTTAAATCTATGATGTAAAGATTTATACCTAGGTCAAGTTATAGGAAATAAATTTGATATTTAATATATTATGTGCTTAATTGCAATCACAATTTTTGAAGATTTTTAATTAATTTATTTATTTATTACAGTATGAAGCGTTTTTAAAATTTTCTCTGTTTTTACATAAGGCAGTAGCTGTAAATGAAGGATTGAAGAAGTCTAAAAATTTGTTTAGAATATATGTTGCTAATAAATCTTATAAGAACTAACATTTTCTGACCTTAAGAAATTTGATCTTGAGCGAAAAAAAGTTTTTGACACTGTCTTGCATTAAGAAAAAGAAAGTGAAATACCCTTGGTGCATTTCTTTGGATAAATATTTCTGAAGCTGGTCAAGTATTGTACTTTAAAACTGATATTTATCGGTTGTTACCAATTCCTTTAATCTAATAACAAAAATTCAGTTATTTCGTGTAAATGAAAATTTAATGTTATTTTTGAGTGAAAAAGGTGCTAATCAATATTTATCCGAATTTTTTTTAGCTCAATATATTTTGACAAAACTAACTTGTTTCAAATTAAGTTTAAATTTATGTCATAAATGCTGTATTGATCTAATTAGTTTATCATGAATGCCAAAATCTTAAGTTATATTAATTTCTTTTAGGGCTCAGCCATAAATAGCAATTCTCCTAGTCTACTTAATAATGCAGCCATTGGTGGGCAACAATCTAGTCTTGGTGCCGGAAACAGTATTACTGGCATGAGTCAAGCTTTGATGCAAAAACTTCTACAGCAACAGTCTTCTCCATTTGGTCTTGTAAGAAGTTTTTCATGTTGATGTTATGTAAGATAAGAAAATGAACTTAACATACAAGTTTTTATTTTTTTGTAAAATGTTTGCAATATGTTTTAATTTTTGTGTTTTTTTACAAGGAATAAAATGTGAATTGTTAGCTATTAAATATTATATATATATCCAAAATTTAGCATACTGGTTTTTAAAATTTCTCTCATTGAGCCAGTCAACTCTGTTTAAGAAGTTAAAATTTATCATGAAATTAAAAATATCAATTCAATTTTAAACTTTAAATCATATTTGAATTAAGCTATTTTCTATTATATCACCAATGTTTTTAATAAAAACAAACCTCTTTAGTCAATGGAGATTAAATTAAAATATAAAATGAAATGTATGGATAAGAAAACTGGAAAATATTTGTTGATTTCTTAAGTATAACTTCTTAAACGAACAACAATATTAGCATAAAAGCCATTGTTGGAAAGTAGTGTTACCAAAATGCACTGGCTTTTCTATATATTAGAAGTTGTTAACCAAACAGATTTTTCCAATAATTCTTCTATGAATATGCCACAAATTCATTTAATGAATGACCTTAATTTTGATTGGCTCACAAAAGAATTTACCAATGTTTGACTGACTCAACTGCACTTTTCTACTTCTTTGTTGGTTAAGCTTGATTTAGCAAAATTTACTTATTTCAGTTAGCTATCAAATGTGAGGTTTGGGTATACTACGGGGAGGGGGTGGTAGTACTTGCTCCATCATTTGTGATGGGTTATATGCTAGTTGTAACATATTTTGTTGTAAAATCCTAAATTTTCCAGATGTCACATACTTCAAATGTATGACTGATTTTAAGTCGTGAATTTAAGGTTATAAATATACAAGAATATTTCTTTAATATTGCACCGTCTAAATAGGTGCACTTGGCTCTAGACTAGGTGATCCTACACTACATAGTTACTTTATGCTTATTATACCAACACTCACTACGTTTAAGGCTTATATTAAAAAAAATTGCATTTTTTAAGGGAGGAATTCTAAGAATTTAAGTTGTCAAGCAAAAAAATGTTTTTATACAAGCTACCAAATGTAATTATCACATTTTGCATACATTTCAGCAAAAAACTTTGATACCTTTTAAATGTTGCAAGTGGTAAAATCACTGAAGTTGTAGGAACTTGAATGATGTCAGCAATACTGAAGCTTTTCTTGTTGTTGTTGTTAATTCATACTGTTATTTTGAACTTTATATTTTAAATCTTGTTAAAACTTAAGTATTAGTAAATTCTAATATCATAGCATTAGAATTAAAGAAACCTGTATCACTAGAAATCTAGATAAAAGTGCTGTTTGTCAGAAATTCAAATATTATTATATTTTTGTCTTCAGGTTTTTCAGAAATCTTGTTCAGGTAAAAGAAATTACTCTTAACATTGCTCAAGGCACAGTTTTTCAGTGGAATCTCAGATCTATAATAGAGTATTTGTTACAGCTTGACACCTTATGGTTATTACATCATTCTGTGTTTAAAGAAAATGTTAAAATCAGTCTTTGTTCAATTCACAGGCAAACATGCATCAGAATGCTCTTGGTGGACAAGGAGGAAGAATGAATCAGCCATCAGCTTCTCATTTAAAGGTTCTCGTTCAACAAATACAGATGGCAGTACAAGCAGGACATCTGAATCCTCAGGTAATCCATCTTTTGAGTTTAATTCTAATGGACTTGTAGTTTGCATAGTGGATGACTTTTTTTTTTTAGAGAAATACCATTGTGTATTAGAAAAGTTTCTTAACTATATTGGACAAAAATAAAGTTTTTTCCTTTGTTATTCCATAGACAATTACTTGTCCAAGGGAAATTTTTTTTTATCTGTTAGAGAAGTGAATAAATTTGATGCCTCGTTGTACTTGGTTTATACAGATATTATATCTAGAACATTCAGTGTTCTGTCAATGTTTCAGTCAAATTTCTTGATCCAGTAGTCTCTCTTGATAAAGCTGGTAAGCTGACAAATTTTGCAAATTTCGGTTTGACAGTTTAAAGTGGAAAAACTTCGTCATTCCAAAGCTAGGATAACCCTTTCCACTCAGATCAAAAAGTTAAGAAGGACATTTCTTGTATTACTGTACAAATAAACTATAGAAAGCATTTTTTTTAATATAATGCTGTTAATTCTCAGTTATTGCCTTGTTTTATACTTTCATTATCATTTACTGCATGGTTATATGATGGACAATTCATAACTCCAGTTTTCTTGAAATGGGGAGATTATGTTCTCACTGATAAGTTTGTGAATAATAAATATTGTTGACAGTAGTGCAAAGATAGATATTCTTTAAACAGGCCTGAGAGAAAGTGGGTATGGAAAATTGACATTCCTGAACAATGCTTTTGTATTGTTTGTAACATCTGTCTGAATTATAGAAACAATAGTTCCCAATCCACATTCCACCACTTTTTCATTCACCAATCTTTCAAATTCAACAATTCTGAAACTTTAGGGCGTTAATCGGATTTTTCAAATCTGGCATTGCGATGTGTTGATTAGAAGACTTGAATTCTTGGAGCATGTCTGCGACTAATTTCTGAGCCATTCCAAAGGAAGTACATGCAATACGAACCTGAGTTCTAGTGAGCACCACGATTCAAAAGTTTCTACAAAAAATGAAATGAATTCGAAAGTGCTCAAATTTTGGGTCTTGTTTGAATACATTTAAGTTTTGTAGGTGATCCTGTGTGCTAACTTCTGAACTAGAATGAGAAAGAAAATAATAGCTCAGGTTTTACAGAAGATAAAATGTGGAAGTGACTGACTTGCTTCAGAATGTCACGTTTTCATGATTGAAAAACAAATCTTAAGGACGACTTGTAAAGGGTGGTGGAGGAATACATACTTTAGACTTTAGATAATTAAAAAAATCTTAAATGATTGAACTTTTTTTTACACTTTCTGGAAAATGAATATGATATATAAAAGACACTTGGAAATTATTTTTTGCATGGAAATGATGAAATGTTTGTAGAAATAACTGTTTTATATTATTAAATTTTAAGTGCAGGTCTGATATTTTGTGTTAACTGTATCTGAAGGGGGTTATCTTATTGGCTTAATGTTACCTATCTATGTTCCTTTTAACTTAAGTAGCATTGAGGACTATGATCATTGTAAAAGAACATGATGTAAGATTTTAAAATAAGCTTTTGATGTATGGTCATGATTAATTTTTAAGTCTAAGGTATATAGCAGTTTGCTTACATTATTTTAGGTTTGTTGTTGATGTTTTAACACCTCACTTTTTTCAGATTCTTAATCAGCCACTGGCACCTCAGACTCTGCAACTTTTATATCAGTTATTACAACAGATCAAAGTTCTTCACCAAATCCAGCAGCAACTTCATGTTCCTCAACAGTTTGGTAAAGGAGGTCCCACTCCAACACAGTTGAATGTATATGTTACTCAGACCAAACAGCGGATTCACAACCTGCGTAATCAGATTGCTGCTCAACAGGCTCATTTCATAAAGCAGCAAGTAAGTGTAGTAACTGCTTATCTAATCTTGACCCTCAGTAGGCTGAGGTTTTATGCAAATAAAATTCTCATACATTATGTAATAAGGAGTTTAAGACCATATTTTTGGAATTGGGAGCAGTCAAATATTTTTTTTCTGTTCTTTCTTAGGCTGCAATCTATTACTTTTTGCTAGGATCCAACTAGTCAATGCCTTTTGAGGCCTTTGAGTAATTTTACAGTATTTTACATACTCTTCAAATTTAAAAATCTGAAAAAAAAATATTTTATTTTGTGACTAATATGAAGATATAGCTGTGGCAAAAAAAAATAATGCTTTCATCTTTTGGTGTAGTATGAAAAATGCTTTAATTTGGTATGCATTACGTCCATGTATTGAAGGTGTTTTCTGATAGCAAAAATTATCTATTTAAAGTGACAGACATTTATTCCAGTGTGATAATGTTCATGAAGTTTATTATGTTAAAAATATGTAAAACAAGCTGCAAAAACAAGTTTTCACCTGTTTTTCCACCATTTATACTTCTACTTGGGTCTTATCTGGGAACTTGGAACTGGCATGTACTTTTAAGGAAGTTAGTAATGAAGATGTGGAATTTTTATGTAGAGTTTGTAGGTTGGAGGCAATCATAATTAAAGTAGATGCAATAGATAAAGAGAAGTGTAGACTAGGAAATGGCAGAAAGATTTCAGGAGGAGCTTAAGCTTTTACATGCAATGACTCAGGAAGTTAGAAAGAGTACTGTTAAGGCTAAAAGTGGTGAATTTAGTTATATCAGAGATGAAAGTTATCCGGAAATCCGGA